ATGGTATTAACTTTTATACATCTCATGTTAAAACACAAATCCAGTGAGAGGCTTTGGTAGTAAAATGTGAAGTGTACAAAAGGAAAAACAGGGATTTGCTTAAGTTGAAACTAAATAAAAAGAAAGAAAAGAAAAAGCAACTGTAAGGGAAATCACACCATGAGCAGCCCCATCTGTGGAGTACACTCCTTCCCAGATGGGCCTGGGATTCTCCACCCCCGTCCAGAGATCCAACAAAGCTGAAGGTACTAACCAACAAGGAAGATCCCAGGACACTCTTCATCTATGTGGGTTGGAGATTCCCTTCAACTTAGGGTAGCCTGGAATGGGGAAACTGTCAGGGATTAGTAGGACCCCCAGTGGCATGAGTTAAACCAAAACGGCACTCACTGCAAAGTCTCTGAAAATAAGATTGTCATTGGAAACACAGTCCACAAATGTATGATAGGATCTGCATGACAAATCTAAATAGGAAACTGCCTGATAAAATTAAAATTTTAAGTAGCATCCAGAGTTTCCTGACATAATAAATATCCTGGATATAATAAAACATCTTCTGTTATACCAAGGACCAAAAAAATCACAACCCGAAAATGAAAAGACGATCAACTGACAGCAACATTAAAATGAATTTGATATTCAAACTACCCCATAAGAATTATAAAAATGACTCAACAAGCAATTTTAAATTCTCTTGAAATAAATGAGTGCATGGAAAGTCTCAGGAAAGAAATGAAAATTTAAAAAAAAGAACAAAATTACAGAACCAAAAAGTACCCTAACAGAAATTTTTAAAAGTCCTCTCTGGATAGTCTTGATAATAAAGATGACAAAAGATAGAATTGGTTAACTTGAGGAAAAATCAACAGATTTTACCTAATCCAAACTACAGAAAGAAAATAGATTAAAAAAAAAAAAAAAGAACCAAGACTTAGGAACCTATGGGACAATAATGAAAGATCCAACATTCATCTCATTGGAGTCTTAGAAGGAGAAGAGAAAAGAAGTGGGGCTGAGAGAGTACTCAATTAAATAATAGGTGAAAATTTCCAAATTTGGTTAAAGACATAAAATCATAGATTCAAAAAGCTGAACAAACCCCAAATAGGAGAAATGTAAAGAAATCTATACCAAGACATATCAAAACTAAACTTCTGAAAACTAAAGATTAAAAAAAAAAAGCTTTGAAACAGCCAGAGAGAAATAGCATATTACTTATAAGAAATAAAAATTCAAATGACAGTGGATTTATAATCTGAAAACTTAGCGGCTGGACAGAAGTAGCATACCTTTCAAGTGTTAAAAGAAAAGAACTGTCAACTATGAATTTGATACCCATCAGAACTATCATTTAGGACTAAAGGGAAATAAAATTCATAGTTACAACATTCCCCAACCCCTAGCAACTGATAGAACTACCAGACAGAAAATCCATAAGGATATAGAAGAACTGAACAACATAATCAACCAACAGGATCTGAACAACATACATAGAATACTTCACCCAACCACAGCAGAATAGACATTTTTTTTTAAGCATTCATAAACTATTTCCCATGATAGACCATATCCTGGGCCATGAACCAAACCTCAACAGATTTCAAATAATTGAAATTTTGCAGTGTATGTTCTCTGACAAAAGTAAAATCAAACTAGAAATCAATAATAGAAAGATGATAGAAGAATCTCTAAACACTTAGATCTTAAACAAAATACTCCTAAATAATTCCTATGTCAAAGAAGAAACCTGAAAGAAAATAAAAATATACATATAATTGAATGAATATGAAAATACAACATATCAAAATATATGGGAACATCTAAAGTAGTATTGAGAGAAAAATCCATAGTACTATGTGTACAATTTAGAAAAGAGGGAAGATCGAAAATAAAAATCTAAATCACAGCTTAAAGAAACTAGGGAAAAAAACATAGAAAAAATTAAATCCAAAGCAAACAGATGGAAGGAAATAATAAGAGCAGATATCAATGAACTTGAAAACAGGAAACAATAGGACAAATCAATAAAGAAAAAGAAGCTGGTTCCTTGAAAAAAATAAATATGATTAACTTCCACCAAGGCTGAGAAATACAAAAAGAGAAAGACACAAATCATTGATATCAAGACTAAAATAAGGGAGATCATTACAGATCCTGTAGCCATTAAAAAAGAATACTATAAACAACTTTATGTTTATAAATTTGAAAGCTTAGAAGAAATGGAACAATTCTTCAAAAAACCACAAACTAGCAAAACCCAAGCAAGAGGAAATAAGTAATTTGATTAGTCTATAATAATTAAAGAAGTTTAATTTATAACTAAAAATCTCCTGAAAATTAATCTCTAGGACCAGATAGTTTCAATGGAGAATTCTCTCAAATATTTAAAGAATTAAAATGAATTTTGCACCATGTCTTCCAGAAAATAAAAGAAGAGATTATACCCCCCCGCTCATTTTATGAGGTCACCATTGCTCTGCTGCCAAAAGCAGAAAAAGACAATAGAAAAAAGACTAAAAAATGAGTATCTCTCATGAACTTAGAAGCCAAAGTCCTCAACAAGATATTAGCAAATCAAATCCAATATATATAAGAAGAATTATACACCATGACCAAGTGGGACTTATTCTAGGTATGTAAGGTTGGTTCAACATTTGAAAATCACTCAATGTAGGGGCTCCTGGGTGGCTTAGTCAGTGAAGTGTCTACCTTTGACTCGGGTCATGATCCTAGGGTCCTGGAATCGAGCCCCATGTCAGGATCCCTGCTCAGTGGGGAACCTGCTTCTCCCTCTCCCTCTGCCCCTACCCCCACCTGTGCTCTCTCTGTCTCTCTGTCTCTCTCTCTCTCTGCACTCTCTCTTTCAAATAATAAATAAAATCTTTAAAAAAAGAAAATCATTCAATGTAAACTATTATAGCAGGCAGATAAAAAAAAAAAACAATATGATCATATTAATTGACATAGGAAAACACCTCACAGAATCTGATACCCATTTATGATAAAAACTCTTAGCAAGTTAGAACCAGAGAGGAATATTTCAACTGGATATAAGCAGCTATAAAAATTTTATAGCACATAATATTTAATGGTGAACAGCTAAATGGTTCTCTAATATTAGGAGTAAGGCAAGGATGTCCACTCTTATCATTCCCATTCGATAGGATATTGAATATTCTGGCAACTGAAATAAAGCAAGAAAAGGAAATAAAAGGTAGGTATATTGGGAAGGAACAAATAAAACTGTCCTTATTTGCAGACAACGTGATTCTCTATGTATAATCTTAAAGAATCACCAAAATCTCCTAAAATTACACAATGAGGTAAGTGCTCAGGATACAAGATCAACACACAAAAATCAATAGCATTTCTATATACTAACAAAGATGATGTGGAAACCAATATTAAAAATATACTTCCATTTACAATTACTACAAAGAAAGTAAAGTATTTTTATAGGGATGAATTTAAAACATGTACAGAATCTGTATGACAAAAATTACAAAATGCCAACTTAAGAAAAAAAAAATCAAAGAACATCTAAATAAATGGAGAGGCTTACTGTGTTCATGAATTGCAAGACTCAACATAGTAATGATGTTTATTTTCCCCAAATTGATCTATAGGTTTAAAGCAATTCCCATCAAAATTCCAGCAAGATTTTTTGTAGAAATAGTTAGGCCTATTCTAAAATTTATTTGGAAGGAACAGGCCCTATAATAGTTAAAACACTACTAAAAAAATAAAGTGAGAAAAATCACTGTACCTGATTTGAATACTCATTATATAGCTATGGAAATCAAGAGTGTATAGTGATGGCAGAAAAATGGACAGATTGATCAATGGAATAGAATTGAGAAACCAGAGACAGATGCAACATGAATATGTCTGACTGATTTTTTGCAAAAGTACAAAAACAATTCAATGGACAAAGAATAGCCCTTTCAACAAATGATGTTGAAGCAATTGGATATCCATAGGCAAAAATAAAATAAAATAAAATAAAACAAAGCAAAATAAAAATAAAAACAAATCCCCAAAACAACCTCGAACCCAAACAAACAAACAAAAAAAACAACAAACAACAAAAAATAACAAAAACACTGACTTAAATCTCACATCTTGTATGAAAGTTAACTCAGAATGGCTTGTGGTCTTAAATGTAAATGTAAAACCATAAAACATTTAGGAAAAAAACAGAGAAAATAATCTTTGGGAAATAAGACTAGAAAGGACTGGACCAAGAAAGAGTTCAGTCTGATGCCAAAAGCATAATGCACTAAAGGAAAAAGTTATAACTTGGATTTCATCAAAACTCAAAACTTTTGTTCTGCAAAAGACTCTGGGAGGTAGATATAAAGATAAGCTCCAGACTGGCAGAAAATATTTGCCAATCACATATCTGACAAAGGACTATTATCTAGAATACATAAAGAACTCTCAAAACTCAGTGGTAAAACAAAAAAAAAAATCCAATAAAAATGGTAAAATATTATGAATAGACATTTCTCCCCAAAGGATATAAAGATAACAAATAAGCACAAGAAAATATGTACAACATCATTAGCCTTAGGGAAATTAAATTAAAACCACAATGAGATATCACTACACACCTACTGGAACGGCTAAAACAAAAAATTGATGACAACATTAAATGCTGGTAAAGATGCAGAGAAACTGGATCACTAGTACATTATCCATGGGAATGTAAAATGGTATGCTCTTTCTGGAAAAGAGTTTAGCAGTTTCTTTTAAAACTAAACATACAACTACTATATGACCCAGCAATTGAACCCAAAGGAATGAAGGCATGTTCACATAAAACCATATGCACAAATGTTCATAGCAGATTTATTCATAAATTCCAGAAACTGAAAACAACGCAGATGCCTTTCAATAAACAGTTAAATGGACTGCGGTACATTCCTACTTTGCAATAACTATTCAGCAATAAAAAGAAACAAACTATTGATAAATGCAACAACTTGGGTTGAATTTTTTTTTAACATTTAAAAATGTATACTTCAATAAGCATATAAACATATAAACAATTAGGTAAGCTTATGGAGAAGCTGACCAAGATACATATATTAGGAGATACAATTGTCCATCTAAATTTTCTAGATTTCTTTCTTTTTTTTTTGTAGAGTATTTATTCAAGTTGTTTACTATATAATTTCTCATGTGCCATTTTGGAAGTCCTTTATTGTAAAGACTAGTCTTTTGTCTGATGACAAATAGCAACCACACTGTCAGTGATTATTCTGGACCTCCACGTTGGATAAATTCAGTTTCTTCTTGAGATACAAGTTTCCTTCTGTATTTCTGAGGTAACGTTTTTATTATTTCTGCAGTGTCTGGTGGACCCTGATGCATCAGCAAATCTGGGGATTTACTTCCCTTAGAATGCCGTGAAATTGAAGAAGAGTAAGACGGTAGTCCTGCTGATCTCAAAACTTCTGAAAAGTTAGGTTTAGGATTGTCTCTTTTGTCAGGGAATCTTATTAATGGAGTATGTGGCTTGACTACCTGAACGACCCTGCTGGCAGACGCCATCTTGCTGCCATCCTTGGGTTGAATTTTGAGGCAATGATGCTGAGTAAAAAAAGTGAATCCCCAAATATTGGGATTTCATGATTTTATTTATATACTTTTTGATCTGTTTATGCAACATTCTTGAAATGGCAAGGTTGTATAAATAAGGAACAGATTGGTGGTTGCCAGGGGTTAGTAGCAGAGATGAAGTTGTGGGGAGGGAGGGAGGTGTGTGTCTATAAAAGGGAAACAGGAGGGATCCTCATAGTGATGGAACAGTTCTTTATCTTCACTGTGCCGATGTCAATATCCTGGTTGTGATATTGTATTAAAGTTTTGCAAGATGATACCATTGGGGGAAATCAGGCAAAGGATATAGCCGATCTCAATGTATTATTTCTTACAACTGCATATCTACAATTATTTCAAAATAAAAAGTTTAATTAAACAATTACAGAGAACAATAAACCTTTGGGGGATGAAAAAGGTAGAGACTAAACTAAATGATCTTTCTGGATCTTTCCAAATTTTTACAGATCATTTTCTCCACTTTCAGTGATGCCTAAAGTGGTCACCTTATATCTCCTCTAAGAAGTGGCTTGCTCCCCCATTTCCTGTGTAACCTCTGACCTATGACCTGTACTGGGCAGAAGCTGGTGTGGACACTGAAGAGCTCTATGGTCTTGGCTCACTTTTTTTCCCTGGGTCTCTGAATCAGCTGTAATTTAAGAAAGCATAGAGACCTCTAGAGACTCTTTTGGCTTCAAAATCCTAGAATTCCAATCTATTTATTCATTTATTTATTTTATAATTATGTTCAGTTAGCCAACATATAGTACATTATTAGTTTTTGATGTAGTGTTCAATGATTCATTAGTTGTGTATAACACCCAGTTTATTTTTTATTTAGCTTCTACAACCAATAGAAGTGAAAAAAAGTCAAATTCCAAGGCCTTTCACACCCTTTCCACATTAACTCCATCTCTGCCAACTTGTTTGATTCCCAGCAGGCTCTTAACACCTTAGACCAGGAAATGCCAAGCCCATTTTCCAAGTTACTGTCTGCCTAAAGAGTAACAATAGCATAACAGTGGGTCCTGAAAACTGAAACCTGAAAAAGAAGGTGAAAGCAAACCATGGTCTTTATACAACATGAAGCAGCCCCCTGAAGGTGCCCATTCCTCATCAGTATATATGTGGGGTCACTTCCTTTGCAGATTTTCATTGTGGGAACAGAATAGTCTCAGCTGAGGTCTCAGGTGGATGACAACTACGTGTGTGAAGCTGGAAGGAGGAAAAATGCTATTTCATTACTACCTGTTGTGTTTCCTGTTCCCATAATCAGCATACCTGGCTTCTACATTGCTGGCTTCTTTGAAAAATATATATTAAATTATTTCAGAAAACCATGCAGCAGATGCTCTGTGTCTGCAGGGTACGCGAGAGAGCAAGCTGGACCCCGGACAGAAATCTATGGCTACCACCCATCAAATCCCTGTTACGATGGAGGTGAACTGGGCACAGCTCCAGAAGGTCAGTGAAGGATGTTGACAGGGAATAGAAAATTTGAAACAAAAAAAACAAGAAAACGAAAAAAAAGGAGAAGAGATAGATAAACCCCTGAACGACTCACATTGCCTCAACAGAATATCCTGTTTCATTGATATGATGCTCCCAAACTTTTTACTGCCCACACTGTCTTTATTATTTTTGCCAGGAGTCTCAAGTTTTAAAAGACTATTTTTTTTCACTAAAATAAATTGCATTGATTAGATAACAATACTTTCATTCTCCATTTTGAATTAGACAACAACATATAATTGCAAGGCCTTTCTGGTCAGAACGAGCGTAAACAGGTAAAGCTGATTAAATTCATATTAAAAGAAAAGAAATGTGTTACTTTATTTACCATGTAGTTTTATCATAGGGATATATAAAATGTTTGTTTTCTTCTAAATAATGAAATTAATATGAAGACCACAGGTTAAGAAACGTGGGATTGTTTTAGAAATGCTCTTTTGGCACAGGACACTCACAATAATAAAGTTACAGCTCTCAAGCTACCTAAAATGCCCAGCTCGGAGTTTTGGGCATGAGGTGATTAAAATGAGCACTGCTGGAGTGTTTGAAATAGTTCAGATGTTAGTTCAAATCCCAGACTCACTATTTACCTTGTGTGTCACCGAGGGACTTATCCTCTGTAAATCTTAATTTCCTGGTCACAAAACTGGGACAGTTATATCTGTGTCTTATAATAGATGCTCAAGAAATTACAGCTAAGCCTACTGTTGGATGATCATGGGTACAAACAAAAATGATAGCCCCAAACAGATACACCTAGGTGGGGTAAGTCAAGCATCTTTTACAAAGTTATTTTTACATGTATTCTCCCTTTATTTCCATCTTAGTCTGGTTTTCCTTTCTAGAACCAGGGCTAGAAGCTGGGGCATAAAGGGAAGGACAGATGCAAAAGACAGGCAAGAGAGAGTCAGTGAATAAAAAGGTATCCACATAAGTCTCAACTGCTCATGATACTTTGAAATATTATGCTCTCTTGTTCTTTGCTTTTTAAGCAAAGATTAATTTCTCAATTTTTCACTTGTCTCCCATTGTGGCACTTATGGGAATTTCCCAAACCAATGAATACTCTGTCCCTTTTCCTTTTGACCAGAACTCTGATTTTGTGCAGGGCAATGAAGAGCCCAGTTAACAATACCTCCCTCCTCACACCTCCTTGCAGATTGAGCCAGAACTCACATAAAGTCTTGAGGTTTAATCTGAGTTGTGCATTTAGAACTTGCAGGCAAATCTTTCCTCAGTCCTCAGTTCTGACTAATGAGATTTAAGCAAATACCTATTAGGTGGACATAAGAGAAAAGCTCTTCCTCCCTGTTTAAAAAGGGATAGATTGAGGTCCTGGCTTTTGCCTGCAGCAAGATGGCAGTGGTCTCAATGTCAGAGGCGCTGAGGCAAATGTTGTGGGGGAAAAGAGCAGTGGCTGTAGCTGCCATTTCTGTTTCCAGGGTTTCTATCAGGTCGTTAAGCACTTCCACATGGAGGCTGGCACAAGACCAAGCTCGGGACACGCAACTCATAACAGTTGATGAAAAATTGGATATCACTACTTAAACTGGTGTTCCAGAAGAGCATATCAAAACTATAAAAGTCAGGATCTTTGTTCCTGCTCGCAGTAACATGTGGTCTGGAGTAAATAACACAAAGGAATGGAAGATGGAGTTTGATACCAGGGAGCAATGGGAAAATCCTTTGATGGGTTGGGCATCAACGGCTGATCCTTTGTCCAACATGGTTCTAACCTTCAGTACTAAAGAAGACGCAGCTGCCTTTGCAGAAAAAAATGGGTGGAGCTATGACATTGAAGAGAGGAAGGTTCCAAAACCCAAGTCCAAGTCTTATGGTGCAAATTTTTCTTGGAACAAAAGAACAAGAGTATCCACAAAATAGGTTGGCACTGACTATATCTCTGTGCTTGACGGTGAATAAAGTCAGCTGTGCAATATTTATAGTCCATGTATAATACATCTCTTAAGCTTCTAATAAGTTTGATCTTTAACCACAAATACATTTTGTGGCGCCTATTTTAAATGTTTTTTGATGTCTCAAAGTGAACACGTTTCAATTTCCTATTTATAGAGGAGATTTGAGGTGATCATACCTCTAGGAAATTTCAGTACTTAAAATCTATTAAAAGGAATGCTTGAAATCAGCTGCAAAAAAAAGGGGGGGGGATAGATTGAGCTAGTATGCACCTTTTCCTTTCACCATTCCCACACCTTTTTACTGACTGAAACGCAGTCACAATGCCTAGAGATGGAGCAGACATCTTCTGGCCAAGGAAACAAAGGCTACACGTCAAGGATGGGAGAGCAGGGAGTGAACTGCATGCCGCTGATGTAATCCTGTTTGACATTTTTGTTTAGCTTGATTCCAAGACTCCTCATCAAATGGATGGCTCTATCTTAGCGACTTCATATGTCACAAAAGCACCCGGACCCAAGAACGATGTTCCAAGCATGGTAGACTATACCAGAGGACTAAAGAAATCTCCAAATCTGTCTTGTAAAACTCTTGTTTATAATATGATTACTGCTTAAACTGCATGCATCAGTTTCTCCACAGAATTCATACTTTACTGTTCACCTCTGATCCTTTCTTCTGTATTCAATCTCAAATATAGTTACCCTATTTTCTATTTTATAGCCTCTGTTTTCTATATTCAAGCACTTTAAGCCGTATAAATACCTACTAAATTGGGATGCCTGGATGGCTGTGTCAGTTGTTCAGCTCAGGTCATGATCCCAGGGTCCTGGGATAGAGCCCCGCGTCGGGCTCCCTGCCTGCTTCTCTCCTTGCCTGCTGTTCCCCCAGCTTGTGCTCTCTCTGTCTGACAAATAAGTAAATAAAATCTTTAAAAAAAATAGCTACTAAATTACTTTCTTCTCATCTTGGCTCTAACCTACAAAGCTGCAAACAGAAAGTGATCAATCTCTTGTGATGCTATATGGTCCAAGGAAGACAAATCTCTTTAGGATCATTAGGTAAGATCAGCCTACAACTAAACACTTGATACTAAACCTCAATACTTTACTATCATTTTCTGGTTCAACACCGTTAGCAGACTATGTACTATTAATGAGAGACTACTCTCTACATTGCCAACAGTAGCTTTTTTTTTTTTAAGATTTATTTATTTATTTGAGAGAGTGAGTGAGTGAGAGAGCATGAGTTGGGGGAGAGGGTCAGAGGGACAAGCAGAGTCCCAATGAGCAAGGAGCAGGATGTGGGGCTCGATCTCAGGACCCTGAGATCATGACCGAAGTCAGTCACTTAACTGACTGAACCACCCAGGCACCCCAACACTAGCTTTTTTTAATGGATTCTTGATTTTTAGTTATAAAAAGTTCAAAGTGCCTTAAGTGTGCAAAAATTCAGGAAATTGCTGATCTTGATTGGTCCACATGTGTCTAAGTTTGGGTTTCCACACAAACAGAGTCTGAGGCAGGGAAATGGGTACAGGTATTTGAGGGCAGTGATACAAGAAAGCAGCTATGGGGGCCCAGAAGATTGAGTTAGAGAGTAAGAAGGCAGAAGCCCTTAGTGGGTGTGGGATTGGGCAGTTACCACTCTAACACTCTGAGGAACCATCCCTCTGAAGGACAGGATGCTGAACATTTATGCACAGTTTGGGGGGATACCTCTAGAAGCACAAACCCTCCTTATGCATAGGCCATGTCTACCTACGAGCTGAAGGATACTCCAGGGAACAATGAGGTATGAAAAAAAGAGTGTGGCATCCTGAAGTGGGATGATTCTTGGTGCCCAGGAACTGTCT